AACCAATAGAAGATAGAATTTACTGAAACAAAATGGTGATAGGTTAAGTAATTTTTAGGGAAGAATACATATTTTCCGAAAGGGGTGGAAGGCTAATGTGGAAGTTTCCACAACCTCATAAATAATGGACTATTTCGTTTTGACTGTGTGGAAAAACAAAAAGACATATCAAAGTCACCATTTGGTTTCAGTGAAGAAATAATTAAAGAAAAATAGAGGTCCGACAATTATATATTATAATTTCTATTTATAGGTTATTTTTATAAATACAAATTATTTAAATAAATGCTCTGTGTAATTAAAGACACAGCATTTACGTAAATGAATTGTATCTATAAAAATAACGTATAAACAGAAGATATATTAAATAATTGTCTAACTTAATCAATTTCATTATATGTTGTCATTGTTTACGTTTCGTAAGCAGATATGATCGACCGAGAGAAATCGTCGAAGTTTTTGTGTTTAAAAATAGTAATTTAGTCTTTGCTAATTAGACTCTTCTCTGTAGCTGAATGGTACAGCACGTCAGGCCAAATGACAGTCCCGTATAGGTATACAAGTGTGATTCCTGTCGGAGAAAGCATAATATCTACGAAATTTCTTGAACATTCATGTAATTCATATTGTTTAATTAAAAACAGCATTTATTTAAATATTTTTTATCTATAAACGTATAAACAGAAAATGTGCTAACCCTTTCAGCCCAGGGTTCATGAACAATTTTAACCCTTCTATGTGAGCTACTGAGTCAAAATTCGCAAATAACTGGTATGTAATGTTTCACGATAGATTTTTAAAATAATATTAGGTACAACAACAGTAACAATAATGTTTTAAAATTCATATATTTGACGATTATTCTAAATTAAGAGATACATACATATATGTATATATATATATATATATATATATATATATATATATATATATTGAACAAATTTACCCTCAGCACTACCCGGGTTTCAACTTTACGGTCTCATCAGGTATTTTTTGGTAAATAATTATTATCCGGACTATACGTTCAGTTTTGGGGGAATTTTGTCTCGGCACTTTCTTAAAATATCCATCCATTGTTCTAATTTTGTCTGACGTAATAATTGTTTTATATTCTTACATATATATATATATATATATATATATATATATATATATATATATATATATATATATATATATATATATATATATATATATATATATATATATATATATACAAATATATGGATATAGATCAGACAGTATGAAGAAAAAATATACGGAAAAACAAAGAAAAATCCTTAATATGCAATTATGCTGTTTTAATGTGAATATAATGTCAACGTCGGACGTTTCGGTCTAGTAGACCATCTTCAGGACATATTCATAAAACATAATTAACATCAGACTATATTTAATTTAACATGAAAAAGACGATGGACATAAGGGTAAGACTAATCAAAACAGTCGACTGAAATTTTTCAAGATCAGCGTTCCGTTTCAATATGATCACGTCGGCGATGTTGTGAAAACGTATTCCTAAAATAAAGTATATTGAATGAAAAATGAAAAGAATATAATTTTAGATTAAAGTAAAATTCTGTTCATATATATATATATATATATATATATATATATATATAAACACTGTTCCCGGGACAATGACCTCTCGTATTTACTTCATGATTTTACAAATTCGGATCCATGTATTTAATTTCATGTAATGCTTAAGTTAAAAGATTATCTTACATTCTAAGTCAGTAAACACTAATATTTCTTAATTTTAAGTATTAATCCTGCTTTCAAGTGTCCTATTTTTTTATTAAGGAGTTGTTGGCTATTTTTCGAATTTCGCCTTTTAAAAAATCTCGATGTAGTTTTAAAAAAAGAAAATAAATAAAAATGACAAATATATTCTAACGTAATCCTTAAATATGATTAAATAAGCCAGACAGTAATAACTTGACGGCATGAAATAAAGTCAGTGGAGCGAGACAGATATCTTAACCCCCCCCTCCAAACATAACCGACTTTAAATTTGCCTCACAAAGTTACATACGCTTCCTTCATTCGAAAAATAGCCGAATACCTCTTAATAAAATAAATGGGAATTTTCTTAACAACACAAACTTAAAACCAGAGTAAATCAATTATTTTAAAAGTTATTCTTAACATTGCTTGAAAATGGAATCGAACTCCGAATTTTAAGTTTAAAACTTAAAGTTAAATTTTGGGATGTAAGTTTCAGTTTTGAGACAGCAAGTTCTGTTTCTCGATGGGGACATATTTTTAAAACATAATTATAACATTATGCTCAACTTTGTATCTAGCAATGTTTTTTAAAAAAAAAAATAAATCAATTATAAATCTGTTTTTTCATATTATTTAATATATGTGTGTGTGCTTGTGTGTGTGTGCATATAAACCAAATAATTAGATATTACTATATATATATATATATATATATATATATATATATATATATATATATATATATATATATATATATATATATATATATATATATATATATATATATGTATGAAGAAAAATATATACGGAAAAAACAAACAAAAATCCTTATATACATTATGCTGTTTTAATGTTAATATGTCAACGTCGGACGTTTCGGTTTAATAAACCATCTTCAGGACATATTCATAAATTATAACATTATCAATACAACATGACAAAGACGATGTACATAAGAACAAGACTTATCCAAACAAATAACTGAAAGTTTTATAAAATCAGCGCCCTGTTTAAAAACATGGTCACGTTGTCGTCACGTATTCGACGCTGTGAAAACGTATTCCTAAAATTTGAGTATTTTGAATGAAAATGAAAAGAATTGTTGTATTGATAATGTATGTATGCGTTAGTGTGCATGCACAAATAAGCGAATAAATATTTTGTAAATTTAATATAAGCTGCAAACAAAACTGCTCAATTTGTTTAGAGAGAATATATATTAATAAATATATGTATATGTATATTCATTAATATATATATATATATATATATATATTTTTCAGAAATGCCTTACATTAAAAAAAACGAAATATATATATATATATATATATATATATATATATATATATATATATATATATAATTATTTTAATTAAAAAAAACGAACATATATATATATATATATATATATATATATATATATATATATATATATATATATGTATGTATATATGTTCGTTTTTTTAATGTAAGGCATTTCTGCAAATGACGCGCGCCTCGATATTCTGGATGACAAAACAAAGATTTTTTTTTTCTCCTGGAATCTGATGACTTCATCAACAGCTTCCTATATTGAATCTCAGTATTTTTCCTCATCTTTCATATTTTCACCATTATCGGAAGAATTTTATTCTTTCTCTATTTCTTGATAATCCAAATTATTTTGAAGCGGTTCTATCGTTGAATTCTTTTGTAATTCATTAAGGTCTTCATTTACCCATTCTTTGAAGTCATCGGAAGTCAGAGTGTATTCAGTGGGTCATCTTCAAGCCCAAGTTTTAGTGATTCGTTCAGATTCTAAAATCCTTGTTTGTTAATTTGTAAATTCAACGAATTAGGAGCTTCATCCAGTTTTTCAATAATCGCTTGAAGTTTCTTCTGTGCGAGACATTATGGGTTGAGAAATTGCAAGATACTAACAATTATCTGCAAAGAAAAGAAAAATATTAGAATGTAACGTATTTAGATAACATCTAAATGGCAACACTGAGAAGTTCGGATATGAGGACTATATATATATATATATATATATATCGCGTTAAATTTGAGCAACATCGAGCCGACACACTGGGGTTAAAATAGGAAACTGAAATGATACATATAACACACTCATATCCTCTCTCTCACCTCACTTCCTCACTTCGTTAACTTTACATAGACTTGATGAGGTCCGTAAAAAACGTGTGAATTTCTTTTTCATTTTTCATTTCAGCGTTTGGAAGTAAAGTCTGATGATCCAGAACCCTGTTAAAGGGGTTATGGTGAAAGAGCTTATTACATGGAATCTTAACGTGGTCTGTCTTTTATTCAAACATATCTGCTCTGAATTTTACATTGAGTTCTCTGGATATCATCCTCCTCAGGTCTACCCATACGGATTACCTAAGTTTGCAAACTATAATATATATATATATATATATATATATATATATATATATATATATATATTCTTTCTTTCCCACGTATAAATTCTTTTTTTTTTTTTTTATAAATTTTCAATGACCGAAGTTTTTTTTTATTTCAGAATGAAATATTTAAAACTTTTTCAACCTGATGAAACGTTAAAAAATTGAAATAAAGTGATGTGCATGTTCTAATGTAACACTGCATAATAAATAAATAAATATTTATTGCTCTACTTTTGAAGCCCTGAAATTAATATTTTGAACGCTGAAATCATCGTGATTTCCCATTTATTAAAGACTGAACGTTCGAAACGTTAAAAATATATTGTTTAAATAAAGTGAATGTACGAGATTAAGTGAGTAATGTGTCTCCTGTTCTTTTTGTTCGGTTCCGTAAAAAAAAGGACGAATATTTTCTTGAAGAATTTCTCGGACATTCAGGCCGGTAAATGTTATTTATATATTATAAACAGAGCATTTATAAATATATATAAAAAAGAACGTTAAACATAAAAAAATATAAATATATATATATATATATATATATATATATATATATATATATAAATATATATATATATCGCCACGGTCGATTTGTCAGGAACAAAACTTCCTGATGTTATCAGTCTGATGGGGCTGATCCCAGCGTTGTGGGTGAAATTAGGTAGACGGAACCCTTGGGGGGGGGACGTCGATAGCTGTGCTAGCACGGTCACAAGTTATCATGACCGAGGCTTTCTGTGTGTGCCGGCCTTGTTCAATTGTTGATCACGCTATAAAACACGCTCTCTCCCTGAAACTGCAACTAAGGTCTGCAGAGCATAGTTGCAGTATAAACTGCAGGATGGCTTTGTAGGTGGTAATATGGTGGGGGGGGCTGCAACTGCTGTTGGTGTTGGTGCTGCTACTGTGGGTGATGCCGCTGCTGCTTGTGCTGCTGATGGCGGAGCTGGTGCTGGGACTGCTCCTGCTCGTGATGTGGTGGTGGGGCTGCAACTGCTGGTAGTAATGCTACCGCTGCTGGTGGTGGTGTTCCTACTACTGTTGGTACTACAGCTGATGGTAGTTTCAGTACCACTGGTGCTGGTTTTGATGGTTGTGTTGGTGGTGATGTTGTTGGTTGTTGTTGTGATGATCGTGGTGATATAAAAAATTCCAGATATTACGAGAAGGGTTTTATTTCCAGCTGAGGTTTGTCGATGAAAAAAAAAATAATTAAAATAAGATTTCTTCCACTTCTATGCGGCAAGAATGTTGACATTACAGGTCGTCTGAATATGAGAAAAAAATATTACCACTTCAAACATTAAAAAGGACAGTGAAAAAAATTGAGTTTATTTTTGGAATCTTTTTTCATTTTAAGCCTCAGGTCATTTTTGACTGATTATCAGTGATAGATCTTTCTCAGTTCAGGGGTCACGACAATCTTTCAAATTATCTTCCCTTTCGTTCCTACCATCAATTTTCTAGGGTATTTTTTTTTCTATTTTTTTTTAAAGAATTTTAGAATCAAAGACATTTTTCTTACTGAAGATTTCAAAATGAAAGGATTTTTTTTTATATATTCCAAGTTGACGTGGCGAAAATTTGATGAATGGTCAATTGAAACTTGCGATAGAACAAAGAAGATAGGGGGAAAAAGGGGGCTCGAATATAGAAAGCGACGTTCATTTCGACAATTTCAACTTAGCGCTTCATCACCAAGATGGCAAGAAAGAAAATGTATTACAAGTAAATGACAATGTCAGAAACCTTGCCATAATAACATTAAGGCTATTAACTTTTCAAGATATTTATGTTAAGGGCATCCTTATCTATCTTCGACATTATCTATCTATCTATTTTATATTTATATCAGTGAATTATTTATCTGCCTGTCTATCTATCTATCTATCTCGATCTGCTCATCTCTCTCTCTCTCTCTCTCTCTCTCTCTCTCTCTCTCTATATATATATATATATATATATATATATATATATATATATATATATATATATATATATTCTATTCCTTTATCATCTATCTATCTATCTATCTATCTCGGTCTGTTCATATTCATCTATCTATTCATCTATCTATCTATCTATCTATCTATCTATCTCGGTCTGTTCATATCTATCTATCTATCTATCTATCTATCTATCTATCGCGGTCTGTTTATATCTATCTATATATCTTTATATTTATATCAGTCTATTCATTATCTCTCCTTTCATATATATATATATATATATATATATATATATATATATATATATATATATACTATTCTATTCATTATCAGTCTGTTTGCATGTCTGTCTGTCTGTCTGTCATTCATCTATCTATCTATCTATCTATCTATCTATCTGTTGAAGCTTGGATAAGCATGGAATAATAATAATACAACACAAAATGTACGTAAACAAAATGTATTGAAACAAGGAAAAGGTACACAATATTTACAGTTAGTTTTGGTATATTCTTGGGAAGACTGTTCCTGTAGAATGGCTTGACTTAATCGCAGTTGGGCAGAGTCCCTGGATTGGATCTCTTCTTACTTCTTCCCTCGTCTTCCTGGTACCAACCCATATTTATATGGTCGGTACTCCACTATGTAAATTAGGTGGATCGTACCACAACACTATGTAAATTAGGTGGATCGTACCACAACACTATGTAAATTAGGTGGATCGTACCACAACACTATGTAAATTAGGTGGATCGTACCACAACACTATGTAAATTAGGTGGATCGTACCACAACACTATGTATCTATCTATCTATCATTATATTTATATCAGTCTATTCTTTATCTGTCTGTCTCTAACAGAGAGAATTAGACATGTTTGTGTGGGTGCAGATGAGTAAAGTAGGGTCGATTCTCGTTGGTTTAGAAAGAGTGAATTAATGTTAGTTATAATTGTTATAATTAAATTTAAAAACAAAAAAACATTTTTGAAACTATAACTAATTTTTTTTTATTTACTTTTCTATGGATACGACAAAGTGACGATTTCATTAATTTTTATTTATGCATTCATGTATTTTGTATGAACACGACAAATTCTTATGAGACAGAGCAATATGATAAAAATAGGGCGTACGGGTGCTTTGTTAACATTATGATTACTATTATTATTATTATTAGTAGTAGTAGTAGTAGTAGCAATAGTAGTAGTAGCGGTATCGACATTGTTATTGTTGCTTTTGTTATCTTGTTATCATAATTTATAAATTTAACTACAATTGAAAATTATCTTTAGCATTTAAAATACAAATTTCCTTTTACATTGTTGATGACTTTTTCACATGAAAATTTCTTCTTATTATTTATTTTTCCCTATTGTCTTCAAAGAATCACATTCCCTTTTCTCCTTATTTTCTCCCACCTTTCATCATCCCCTCCTCTTCGTCTTCACTTCGAACTGCTTCTTCTTCTGCTTTTTGATATTATTATTATTATTATTATTATTATTATTATTATTTTATCACCTGCTGTTCTCGTAACTCTATTCTACACATGTGTAGCGTGCGACGAACTTCCTTTCGGTTTCCGGTAGCTTACCTGCTTTGCAGATATTAAAAAATCTGTGACGGTTTTTTTTTTTTTTTGCAGAGGAAGATGGAGATGAAATATCCCTCATTTGACGCGTTTAGTGTGTCATGAAAATATTAGCGAAAAATTAGAAAAATTCGGAAATATGGAAAGAACAATTTAAAAGAACTGGGATAAGATCTTTGAAGATGAAACTAAAGGAGTTGTACGCGAGAAAGAAAAAAAATATCATTGGATTCTTGTCTTGTGAACAGCAAAAAGATGCCGTGGCATCTTAATTTTTGTATTAAACGTTCATGCTACAATTTGAATTAATACGAACGTTTAGGCAACACAATTAAAAACTAAGAGAATATCTGTATTTGCTGAATGAAGAATCTAACATTTACTTTGATGTCTCTTCAAACAAACTTTTCTCGAAAAAATACCGTATTTGACGGCGTATACGACGCAGGGTTGTATAAGACGCACCCCAATTTTCAGCAGGTCAAATCAATAAAAAATTAGGAAAATTATTAGTAAATGGTACAGTCTAAGCTATATTTATGAGGTATTCTTTTGGTTAAACAAGCCATGATTACAATTAAACGAAAAATAATAGGAAAAAAAGAATACGAGTCTATAAAAACTTTATTATAACAAAAGAATACAAAATAAAAATCAATTATTACAATTGTGTAAGACAATACAGTTACCATTAAAATTCAGTCAAAAAATTTCCTTTATATCATCTGTACAACCTGTGTCTTGTAAACGTCTTATTGGAATAATTAGGATATAAAAATTCTGATTGTATTTGTACCAATGCAACCGTAAGTTATCGTAAGAAAAATATGAATGAAACAAATAAATTTTACAAATATACAATGTGAATTCATTGCATATAATTTTCGTGAAACAAAGTACTAATATTACACGTGATGAAATTAATACATACATACATACACACACACACACACATATATATATATATATATATATATATATATATATATATATTAATTTCAGTAATATATATTGAAGTTTTCGGGTCTTGTTTTGAAACATGAAAACTCTTATGTAGCGCAAAAATCATATTTCTAAATAAATAATTATATATATATATATATATATATATATATATATATATATATAAACCATTTGTTTTGCATTCAACATCATCACTTGATAAGACACCAGGAGTGTTGAAACAAAATGGCTATTTTTGTAGTGATTTTATAACATGTTATGTTATAATTTTTAAATAAATTATAATATATATATATATATATATATATATATATATATATATATATATAAAATTAATTGATTTAAAATATGGTTTTTCCACTACACAATTCTAACCATGTTTCAAAAATGGAAGCTAAAAGCCCTGAATTTAATTTTGTAATTAAATTAAAGACATTAGTTCCATTTCATTCTCAAGCGAATTTTGACTCCAAAATTGCTTGAGGATGAAAATAGGTTCGACGTACAAAACGTTAGGAACTTCATATTATAGGTAATGACGCAGTAATCTAGTTGGTGTGGCTGATACTTTAATATCCGACTAACGGTCGTCCGACATCGACTGACTGACCAACTCCCTGAGCAACCCCGTCGTTACTCTTACTACTCCTACTTATAGGTGGGATTATAGGTGGAGAGTGTATTAACAATAGAATAGGTATATATATATATATATATATATATATATATATATATATTAGTTAAAGACAAACATTTTCGTACAATAATAAAAAGTATTAATTTTTACGTCCCAGAATCATATTAGTAAAATTAACATCGAAGATAAAAACATTTTTGCGTGCAGTCTTTCGTCCTCTAGGATAGTGATTCTCACCGTGTGCCCTTAGGCTCACAAGAAGACCTGAGAAATATATATATATATATATATATATATATATATATATATATATATATATATATATATATTTAAATGGGCCCGGTGCTTTCTTAAGGAATACAGGCGAGCTTTGAAATTCTGTTTTTTTTTTTTTTTTTCCACTGGTATAACATTTTCAATACCCAAGCTAATTTACTTTATCTTAAAAGGCAAATAATTCAGAAATTATTTAAATAAAATCCCTCGTTTCCCTTGCTTTTTTAAATGTTGTTTTATTCTTGCTTCTTTTTTCTTGCCACCTGGTTACTTTAGCCTGGATCTTCTGCAACAAATACTCACAAAGAAACGTGATTTATTGCAATTTGAAAAGAAAGGATACCAACGCCTGAAGCTGAACCAAAGTTTAGGAATTCAGATTGACAAGCTGATTGATCGACAACAGTAGCGGAGTAGCCATTAGTCAGGGTTTATATTTTCTACGACATTTTGCTTTTGTGAATACAATGTATTTCCTCTCAAGAGGAATTTCTATTTGTACTTATGTGGGTCTGAATTTCTTTTAACACCCAAAAGAAGCCACAATGAAGAAAGGTTGAGTATCACTGGTCTAAAACTCAATCCCGACACCCAAGGGAACTCGTAGTTTCCTGTCATCGCAAAAAGATGCCGGAAAAAAATGGTTGCTTCTTTGTATCTCACCAGAAATTACTAAGCTCCCCACTGCCAATAATGGAGTATTACTGGCAGTTCTCTGATCTCCAGCTTTGATTGTGTTCAAAAGCGCTTACGCGACCTTGTGGGTGATGACTTACTCTGTACCCTGCAACTATTATCATACATACGAAAGTTTTCCAATCATTCACTATTGTATCGCTATTCGCTATGGCAGATATCTGAAGAATTATATTCTTTAGTGCCACGAGCTCAGAGCTTCCCAGTTTGGAGACGAAGGAAAGCTTGAGTAACACTACTTTATGACTTAATCGGACTAAACTGATGTTTACCTTGAAGTAACTTACATACTAAATACTAAACTAAAGAATATAAAACAAACACTTATTAATAATAGCTTTCCAAATAGTTAATTAACAAATTAAATACTTTCTTAGAAGTCTTAATACTACGCAAATAGAACATGATACTGCTTCAACTAATTCCAAACATATTAAACTCTTTTATCGTAGTCAAATGCATACTAATTATAAACAATATGAAAATATACTAAAAAAATTAGTAAATACTAATATATCCACAACAGATCCTCGCAAAAAAAATTAGGTTAAACATATACTACACTAAATCTAGTATATCCAACTTAACTATTCGCAATGATTCTTCCCCACCTCCCCGTTAGTGATTTGCTGAAAACCAACATAGTTTACAAATTCAAGTGCCCTTTTGGAGATTGTATCTCCAACAGATTAAATAATATTTATATTGGTCACACCACAAACTCGCTTTCACGGCGCTTGACTCTACATTTGAAACAGACTATCATCACTCTTGACTCTACAGAAACAGACTATCATCACTGTCTTGTCCCTATATTGCTTAATATATTGTACAGTAATTGTCATCTTTGATAATGGCTTATGTAAGTCAAAAGCTTAGATTGGATTAAAAATATGTATCAATACTGTGATTTTCTTTCTTCGTTTAATGATAATGTTATTAAGCTTATCAGACGATATGAAAAGAATTTGCACAAAATAAATAGACAACACTTGTCTATATTATTTAATGAAACATGTATCAATGAAAAATGATGCCGAAATACACACAATATATATATATATATATATATATATATATATATATATATGTGTGTGTGTATATATATATATATATATATATATATATATATATATATATAGATAGATAGATAGATAGATAGATAGATTGATAGATAGATTATATGTAGTACTTAGTGGAAAGCGTCTAATATCAAAGAGAGCTAACATTTTCAGTTC